CCGCTGTGTGCCTTCCGGGAAGGAAGCCATCCTGCTGCCCCTCAAAAGATCTGGAGCAGGGCCCCAGAGGCCCCGTGGATCTTTCAGGCCCTGAGCGCACAGCCTGTGGGTGGCAGACACGCATCCACATGCGCACGCGGGACCCTGGCGGTGCAGTGGCGCTGAGCCCCCTGGCAGGAGGCGAGGAGGAAGAAGAACAGCGGATGCTTACGGGCACAAACCTCATATGAAAATCGCTCCCCTTCTTGCTTCTGCTCAAGGAATGGCAAGTTCAAGGTGTTAGACAAAGACAGGATGAGACATTACAGACAAGCATGGGCACACGCCTCCCCCGCCCCCCCTGCCCCCGTCCACGCCCACGCCAGAGCGCCAGGACACAGAAGAGAAACCGGTGGCAGGACAGCCCACAGAGAAGCAAGCAGACATCAAGACCGGAGGCCGGAGGCCGAGGCAGCCCAGCAGACGCACGCCTCAAAGGGAGCGAGGAGAGAGGGCCGCGCCCCGGAAGGGAGCCCAGGGCGGGCTGGGCCAGGCCTGAGGGGGTCTGCCCAAGGACCTGCGCTGCTCCCATGAACCCCCCAGAACATGACACCCCACCCGACGGCTGCTCCCGGTTCCTGCCCCCTTCCATGTTGCAAAAGAGCAGCAGGAGTCCCCCCCCAACCCGCAGCGGGGTGAGTCCTGAGATGATGAATTCCAGGCTGTCTGTCCCCCCCTCCCCGCCCCCACCCCTCCTTCCTGCTTCAGGGGGGCTGTTGGGATTTGAACGGAAAAGGGATCTTTCCTCCCCTCACTCGGATCAACATGTTCTGCTCCCTAACATCAAAACACAAAAGAGAAAACCCTCTCTACTCCCCCAAATCTTCACCGAGGCAGGGGGGCTCTGCCTTGTGACCCACCCCACCCCCAGCCAATCAGCCCACCAACCAGGGCTATGCCAGGCCAGCATCCACGTCTCTCTGGAACAGAAAATGGGACCAGATGTCCAGAAGAGAAAGTGGGCCCGTGTGCTTCCGCTCCAGCCGCGCTGCCACCCAGGGGGTGAGCCAGGCCAGGCTCCCCCCCCTCCCGGTCCGCACCGGTTTCCTCCCGAGAAGGTCCCTCCAGGACGGAGGAAGGGGGCTCACATGGACCTCCTGGCCAAGCGAGGCCGAAGTCGCCTAGGTCCGGCGGGGCTCAGCAGACCCCCCATCCAGCTGTAACACCCCTGCTGGCAGCCGCCCCCAGCCCCCTGCCGCCCACCATCAGCCTCTGCATCTGAGGGGGTTCCTATGGGGCTCAGGCAAGCCTTTCATGGTCCCCGGAAAGCCTCCGTCCGGCGGCTCCAGACTCACCTCTTTCCCTCCCATGGCTTCAAACATCTTCTCGAGCTGAACCCGCAACTGCTGGATGTTGTTCATCAGGATGCAGGGCTGCCGATGATACAAGAGCGCCTGTGAAGCGGAGCTGCGGCCGGGCCGAGCGGAGAGAGGGTGGGTTTTGGGAAGACCTGCGCTGCCTGGCTGGGGAAGGGGGAAGCGAGCTGGGGGGGCACCCCCTGGGGCAGGGCAAGAGCCTGGCCTTTTGGCAAACCAGGCCACGGCGGCACCCCCCCACCCCCACCCCGTGCTGCTCTTTCTACTGCTCGGCATCCTGAGGGGAGGGGGGCAGTTCTACGAGGCAACCCCCACCCCTCGAGAGATGCTCCCGAGGACAAGCCTGTATGAGCCTCGTGGCGCAGTGGTTAAACTGCTGTCCTGCAGCTAAATCTGTGCTCACGACCCAGGGTTCAAATCCCAGGTAGCCGGCTCAAGGTTGACTCAGCCTTCTATCCTTCCGAGGTCGGTAAAATGAGTACCCAGCTCGCTGGGGGTGGTGGTGGTGGCAATGTGTAGCCTGCATAATTAACTTGTAAACTGCCCAGAGAGTGCTGGAAGCGCTATGGGGGGGCGGTATATAAGCAGCACACTTTGCTTTGCTTTGCTTTATGTTTGTGCCCCCCAAATTCCTCACCCACCCATTCTGCAAGAGTCCCTTGGGCCCTCCCTGCAAGGCGGGTCCGAGCCTGGCTCAACGGGTGGCCTCTCCTCTCTCTCTCTCTCTCTCTCTCGCCGAGCCTGGCTCAACGAGTGGCCTCTCCTCTCTCTCTCTCTCCCTCTCTCTCTCTCGCTCTCGCTCTCGCTCTCACTCCCGGAAAGGGTGGAAAGAGCAGCAGAAATCTCCCCATGGCTTATCTCTCAGGTTATTTATTATTCAGTGATGGTCAGCAATCACAAACAGTGCTTATAAAAAAAGGCAGCAATAGGGTTTGAACGGATCCTGTGCTGACGGAGATGCCCCTCTTGAGCAGCTGCTCCGAGGCGTGCAGTCCTCGAGCCACCTAAGCGGCAGGGGCCAGCCTGGAAAGGGACCTCCTCCACCTGCCTTGGGCCAGAAGAGGGGCTGCCCACCCGCACCAGACCACAGCGGGGCTGCAGGAAGGCTGGCCGGCCCCATTCGGGGGAGAAGAGAGGCCCGGGGTGTCTCCCGCCCGTTGCCAGCCCTAGTCGTTTGCCCGCCCAAACCCCCCACCAGCCTCTGGGGAGGGCAGAGCTTTGGCTCCCCATGGCCAGGCAGAGCACAGCGGGCAGAGGCTGCCTAGAGAAGTGGGTTTTGCACCCCTCAGGGGGGGGGGCTGTCTGGCTTGCAGGAGGGCCTGCTCCTCCCACTGGGATCGATCCTGTGCCCTTCTGGCCAGAGGAGGGCTGAGCGCCCTGGCACTGGAAAGAGGAACAACCGTTCCAGGATACTCACCACATTCTCTTTATCGCAGTAAGCGCTGAAATCATTTTTTATAATGACAGCATACTGAGTGAGCACCTTCTCCATAGTCTGGAATGAAAAAGGGTGGAGAATTGGTGTCACCTCTCTATGGCGTCTCGGCCCCCCAAAAGCACCCAGCCCAAGGGTCAAGGGAACACCCTCCCCACTGGCTGCTCAACGCAGGGGGATCGTGGCCATCCTCCAGCCTGTTGGGGTCCAACCGCTAGCCCATGGACCACGTCCAGCATTGGGTGGGCAGCTTGCCTATGGATGCACACACACACACACGCACACACACTCCCCCCCACCAGCACTGCAGTAAAGAGGGAAGCACCCCTCCCTCCTGTCTCTACGGCCTCCCACTCGGTTGCCCCCCCACCATCGCCATGGAGACCACTATTCACCTTTCATTGCCAATGGCAGGTAAATAGCAGACCCAGAAGTAAGTGTGTATGTGTGTGTGTGTGTGTGTGTGTAGGTGTGCATTCGTGCTCCCCTTTCAGGCAGACATTCAGCTGGGCTGCAGCCAAAGGGGGTGGCAGACATCCCACCGGCAGTGGCGTGCCCCTGGGCGAGGGGGGGGCCGCGTGCCCCGACTCCAGCCCAAGCCAGGGGCTCAGGCGTGATGCCCAGAGGAGAGAACCAAGCTGCCCCTGGCCTGCCCTGAAGCCTTGGCAGAGATCTGGGATGCCACCCCACTTGAAGGGCTGGGCACCGCCCTCCTCAAAGTGAACACGGCAGGGCCCCAGCTCTTGTGGGGAGTGGGTAGCGTGAGGGGCTCAGGAGACCTGCATTCAAATCCCCCACGGCTCAGCCATGGAACCTCACGGGGGCGCACGAGTGAAAGGCGAAACCCCTCCTTAAAATCTCACACCCCTCGGACCCCCTGCAAGGCTGGTCACCGGCCAGATACGGATGGACAGCAGGTGAGGACAACTCAGCTGGGAAAGCTGCAGGAAAGGGTACGAAGAAGGAGGAGAGGTGCCAACCTCGGGGCTGGCCAGCCGAGGACTCCGTTCGCCTTTGGGCAAGGGGCCGGTCTCCTCTAGAGGCTCAGGGAGGCCAGAGGCTGGGAAAGGGGCCCCTCTCTCGACAGGAAATGGCCCGAGGGAGCCTTCTCTGCCACACCTGCGAGACCGTCCCCGGTCAAGACAACCCCACCTCTCCAGTGCCAGGAGGACAGAATCCTGCTTCTCCCACCCCCTTCCGAAAAACCCTCAGCACCACCCAGAGGACACAAACGTCTACCTTGGCAAACCTCCTCATGAGGTGAGAGAGCGCTTCTGGATTGGGGCACTCCAGCTTCTTGATGATCTCAAAGCTCTGGTTGAGCTGCGTAAAGACATCCACCACCGAGCAGGAGAAGAGGGCATGGTCTGAGGTCGGCGGGGGGGGGGGGGAGAGGGAGAGATGGTGGGGGCTGCTCCAGAGATGCCTCTTCTCCTTCCTGCCCTCCCCCCCAAAGCTGCCCTTGGAAGACACAGCGGCAGCTCCTGCTGCTGCGTCACCGCCTCCACCACCACCACCACCACCACCAGCAGGGTTGGGCAGGAAGGGGTGCGGCGGTGGGGGGGGGGCAGCCGGACAGCTCAGCCCCCTTGCCCTCTCCAGACCAGGTCTGAAGAAAGACAACCTTGCAGGAATAATTACAGAACTTGCAGGCTAATTAGTTGATATACTAGTGTAACTTTTTTCTGGAGAGCAAGGTTCTCTCCCCCCCCCTCCAGCATCATTACATCCTTGGTGTGAAGATCCCCTTCTTAATCTAGGCTATTTAGTCCTAAGATTGCAAACGGCCTCCCAGCAGGGCAAACTCAAAGAGGCCTGGGCCTGCTATGGAGGAGTCCGTCAGGCCTCAGCACAGCAGAGGAAGACACAGGGTCATGAGGGTGGGGGCTAGCAATGGGGGGAAGGGGTCACCCTCAGGACCCTCCTGTGGGTTGGCCAGCTGCACAGTCCCCCTTTCTGGCCCTCGGCGGCGGCTCTCACCCCATCTTTCTTGTCCCTTCCCAGAGCACCATGAAGGAAATCCATGGAGACGTCCTCGTTTTCAT